CTATGCATTTAAAGACGTGACGCTTCCTTCTTGTTTCGTTGAAGTGGAAGAGCGGTTGGTCATTTCTCATACCCTCTAGGAACGCGCCTGGTGTGTAAACTTTCCGCCAACTCCCAAGCAATCGACATTGCTTTGCCGAAGCCAATCCCTTAAAGGGCTTGGCGCTGTTTGGCGGTAGAGCTTGCGCGTGCCCCTAATGTAGGGGGAGGGCGCAGCTATTCAGCCTCCTTCTAGATAAAGGCTGTTTGCCTAGTCCTTGCCAAAAGTTTACCTGCAGATCGTGGGAACTGAAAATTGGCTACTCGGGATAGTAAGGGTCTGCTCTTGACGTCGACACACTTGTGTTCGTGGCCGCGAACCCCATCCTATAGAATCTTATAGTACTGCTTTAAGGAACGGTTGAGTCATAGCTGTTTAACTTTAGCTGTTCAAATCAGAAGTTTGACCAGATGTGCTCTTTCTTCCTTATGTTCCCACTTGCAGAGTAGTTCGAGTGTTCAGCACACCGAAGCAATTGGGCTTGCCAACGTGCACGATGCGAAATGTTCCGGGTCTTCCGACGAAGCGCTAAGCTCCGACCTGAGCAGCGTTGAGCAGGCCCCCACCCAAGCGAAAAGTATGAGCATTGAAGCTAAGGTTTCAGCATCAATGTTTGGCATGACGCAGATGGCGATGCTGGTCAAGGGCAAGGGGCCCAGCCATCCAGCCCATCCCGCTGTCTCATTCGCGCTGTCCTTGGGGCAAGATAAAGAAACGAGTGGTTTTTTCCTTAACCTAGTTATATTTGAGGCCTCACGCAGGTGCAACAACTCAGTTCTCGAATATGTGGTCCACTTTGACAGACATTCTTTATGACATGCGGGATCATGTGGGCGTGTCCCGAGGGCGTCACAATGCAGTTCTCTACTATTTAAAGTCTGCTTTGACATTGAACCTGGAAGAGGACCGTGTCAGGCCAGAAACCGGCCTATGGCCCCAGGTTCAACATTGTACCAAACAAAATCAACGACAAACAAAACCACAAATCCTAACTCAAACAGCAACATCCATTACATCATAACCTCAGTTCCGCTGCTGACCAGGCGTACCGAGCATCCCATCCATCATGAGAATCAGGAGAACAGCAGAAAACAAACACAAAACTGTCAGCGTAAGAGGGGCCTAATTAACAACAAATACAACACAACCATACAACCAGGGGGAAAATAATCAAGCAAACAGCAAAAGTACAGCTTTGAAAATATAACCAACAGGGGGAGGAAAATAATCACAACCACGGAAGCGAAACACTAAGGCAAGGGAGGAAGAGTGGTGAAGACATCCAGATGTCTGAAAATGACATCAGGGTAAAGCCGGCCTTGCTTTTGTTGCATGCTGTTGCCTGGCACCGGACTCATGACCTGTGATCTCCGCAAGGTTCGACTGATTGCAACTCTTCGACTTTCCCAGTCTGCTCATACTGTGTTTTTTTGCACGGTTTCGAGGCTAACTAACTGACTTCTCGCGACCTCTTGAAACTAACATCTCACTCGTCGGCTTTTTCGACTTTTGTGGCTGTTCGGGTTTCTTTTGGTCTTCTCCGCCCGCCGCTTCGCACGGCCGCTCGCAACCAGCCAGACGCAGTATGTCCAGGAAGGTGTACACGCCTCCTCTTTGGACGGCAGAATGGCAATCTCCCGTAACCATGACGATCCAGCGCATTCCTGCTCCGTATTGTCGTGCAAGCAGAACGACCAGCTCTTCGAGCCAGGCTCTGGAGAGGTCTTGGAGAACCTTGAAAGACACCCTGCCTCCAATGGTGAAAACGCCGCTGGTGGAAGCCATACCGAGCGTACTTTCCGGCGTCACTGCCTGCGTGAAGATGCTGGTGGACAGGCCGCTCTCACCTCACTGCCAGGAAATTCCTAAGGTGTTGCTCTACGGGGGAGTTGTCACGGGCAGGTTCAATGTGGATGGCTCCCAGGTAAGAATTCCAAGTGCATTTGCGTACAGCCAGAATGCACCGTCCAACTTCATGGTGGAAGACTTTGTTCTTGAGGAGGATGTCCTGCGTCGTTACACGTTTCCATACTCCGACAGCTCCATGACTGTGGACGACGAGGTGCACATGTGCATGCGAAACCTACTTATGAGCAAATCCGCTGGAGATATCAAGAAGGCGCTGGAGCCGATGGATTTCTGGGTTACGCAAGCTGGCGAGGATCGCGTGTCCGTTTCGAAGCTTCAGACTTTTCTGGAAGGCGTGGTGGCTGTGACTGTCCTCGGTGCGCCGGAGTACATGTCCAACATCCGTTGCACTTGTGCGTACTACACTTTGCGTGAGATCTGTCCTCACGCGCTGTATGCCAGATATCTGGAGGGAGATGTCGCCCTCGTCAAGGCTTCATGAGTCGACAAACTATATAATTTCATATCATGGTTTCTACCCACTTCTGTTTCCTGTGTCGCGCATTTGCCCTGTCAGGAACTGTGCGAGTTCACGCAAAAGGGTGCCGTCGGTGACTATGCTCAGTCGGAGCCACCGCGAATCAAGCTCAAGGCTGTGGCTCCGAGGCTTCCGACCGAGGCAGCTCGTGGTCATCCGTACTCCACGTGGCAGGATCTCCAGGAGCGGGCCTCTGGCAAATACGCGGCGCGGTTGGAAGCCAAGAAGTCCAAGGCTGCTAGAGCGGAAGCAGCATTGGCTACTCCAAAAAAGGAGGCAGCGAAGTCACCGCCTCCAGAAGACCGCAAGGCTGTGTGCAGCAAGATCGAACTTGGCCTTCAGGCCGACAACTTCAACCGTCAGTTCCAAGCTCTCCGCCACGTCTTGGACTATGAGATCTCAGTTGCTGAAGCTCAGGCGTCACGCATTGGAAGCCTTGTTCGTGCCATACAGAAGGACAAAGCGTGCAGCGTTCCAATGAGAGAGATGGTCGCACGTGTGCTGTGGCAGATAACGGGGGAGACGAAGAGAAGCGCCGGGGGCAGTGCAGCATCTGAACCTGTCTGCAAGAAGAGCAAAGCTTGATCGTTCTCGCCATGTTGAAAAGGTACCACCCTTTTGATCCACAGTATTTGGACGCTGATTTTCTGCACGGAGCTTGCTGTTTGGCTGACGTGGCTTGAAGCAGGTTTTCTGTGCTTCGCAGGCCTCAGGCCTATATTTTGCAGGCTTCCTTGCTTGGCATGCATCCCAGCCTGAATCTATTGCCCTGCACTAGTTCTTGTTTTTGCAAGACTGTATGGCCTGGTTCTTTCATCTTAGTGAGTAATATCCTGTTGCTTGTTTTCTTTCGCAAATACTACCGTCCGATTTGGCACCGTGCCTGGTGAGGGAGGGGGACACGCCAAGCTGAGAATTGCATGTGCCCGTATAGAAGGAGCTTTGTCATGGACGTGGTGAAACTGCGTCCTGTAGGAAAGGAGCTTGCCGTTTGACACCTGTCCCGATTTTGCAGGCTTCCTTGCTTCGCATGCCTCCGAGCCTGGAAGACCGTGTTTGAAAGCCTAGATCTTGCATGTGGTTTGTTTATCTTCACATGACCACGTTTTTGTGACTTAGCGGTCTCTTTACGATGGGCTTTCCAAGCTGAGCGTGGCGTGCGCCGTGTATGGGAGGAGCTCCGTTCCTGAGCTCCTTGCCTACCATCAATTCGTTATGTGTCAACGATGCATTTCACGATGCCGTGTACTGTTTCTATGTCTTCAAGCGGGTTGCGTCGCATCAATGTCTCTTAGGATCTGTGTCTGAGTAAGGGGAGGCTTCTCGACTATGTTTTGCATTGCTGATCAGACGGATGCTGTACAGAAGGATCCTTATTTTGCAACCCTTTGCAGCCCCGCCTGCCGGACGTTGATAGGCTGTGGCTGCGTCATGTCTGCGAAGAGCTTGCCGTTGGACAGACTTACTTTTGCAAGCTTCCTTAATTCGACGAGTTTGGGATATGTTGTTGTTGCTTGATGTACATTGACAAACCTATAAGGAGTGGTCGTTTATTTTTATATGACCACTTTGATCTTACATACAAGCATCTTTACGACAGGCATCCCAAGCTAAACCATGGCGTGGCCCGTGTATAGGAGGAGCTTGCCGTGAGACGCTTCTCCTAGAATCCTCTGTTCCCTGCCTGGCATCTTTCCGTTACCGTGTCGCCGATGCACTACACGCTACTGCGTGTTGTTTGTAAAGGGTTCAAGCGAGTCAATGTCTTTTTGGCTCTGTGTATGAGTAAAGGAAGACGCCAGGAACAAAGTTTTTTTCGCATTGCTGACCAGACAGATGCACCTGCTAGCCCGCCTTGTGTACAGAAGGCGTTTGAAGCACCGCAACCGCAGTCTTGCAAAAAATCACGAGAAATCCCCAAAAAATGCAGTAGTTTCAGAAGGATGCATTCTGTACTGCAACATGCATTGATTCAAAGCTGCCTGTGTCAGGTGGCCGCCTACGCACGGAAGCCCGATCTTCACGCAGTGGCAGCAGTGGGAAAAAAGCAACGTGAAACCGTCGCTGCGAGATGCGATGGACTGTAGCTCTTGTCTGGATTGCTTCTGGTAGTCATGTGGTGCTACATCATCAGACAGACACGATCCGGTACAGCTCTCTGCTGATCCACATGTTCCATCGGCTGCGCTGATACATGGATCCGACTCGTCATGTGCTGATCCGACTCGTCTTGATCCTGATCCTTTTCTCCCCCCCCGATCCCCATCATGCCCTGATCTCCACTTTCTCCGACCCGATACGTCTACCAACCCTAAAAGGAGGGACCCCTTATACGGGACCTTAGGGGTTATTTTGGGGTTGTTCAGGGGCTACTTAGGTGCATAGGGAGCACATAAGGTGTATATAGGGGTTATAGAGAGGAATAAGACTAAGGGTTCCTTCCAGGGGTCCCTCCTTAAACCCTAAACCCTAAACCCTAAACTCTAAACCCTAAACCCTAAACCCCAAACCCCAAACCCCAAAGCAACTTGAGCCCCAAAAGGTTCGGGGCTTGGAGGGCTTCCCTTACGAGCAGGATGGCATCCTCGATCCCGCCGCCCTCTTCGCGACCTCCAGCGGGCGCTACGGCCAAGGTGGGCTCCTAAACCCTAAACAAGGAACCCTGAACCCAGAACCCTAGACCCCTAAACCCCTAAACCCCTAAACCCCTAAACCCCTAAACCCCTAAACCCCTAAACCCCTAAACCCCTAAAACCTAAACCCTAAACCCTAAACCCGAAACCCTAAACCCCAAACCCCAAACCCCAAACCCCAAACCCTAAACCCTAAACCCTAAACCCTAAACCCTACATCCCAAACCCTAAACCCTAAACCCCAAACCCTAAACCCTAAACCCTAAACCCCAAGCCCTAAACCCTAAACCCTAAACCCTAAACCCTACACCGTAAGCCAGGCAGCCTACCGCGTTGGGTCAATGACAAGAGCTGCGGCAAGCCTCAGTCCCCCGAGGTGGCCTTCGCGCCTCGGCTCGAATTCCCAAAAAGTAACCTAAACCCTAAACCCTAAACCCTAAACCCTAAACCCTCAACCCTAAACCCTAAACCCTAAACCCTAAACTCTAAACCAAAAAAACTCTAAACCCTAAACCCGGCCCGCTGGGTTCCTCTAGTTCCAGGGTGCCACTTGCCTTGGCAGTGCAGCACTACTTTATCATGTGCGGTCCCGAAGGTTTGGGGTTTCAGTGCAGCCGGTGTGTCATGGGTTTAGGTTCAGCCCCACAAGACCCTAACCCCGTGAGACCATAAAATCCTCCCAGAAAGCCTGAACCCCAAAACCCAAAAACCCAAAAACCCAAAAACCCAAAAACCCAAAAACCCAAAAACCCTAAAACCCTAAAACCCTAAAACCCTAAAACCCTAGAACCCTAGAACCCTGAAACCCTAAAAGCCTAAAAACCCTAAAACCCTAAAACCCTAAACGCCAAACCCAGTATTTGCCCCAACATTACGATGAAGTGGCGCGGAACTCTGGGCCTGGGAGCTGAGTTCCCCGCCTCCCCGCCTAAGGCTGGCACCCAAGCCGTGTGGTCAGTTCTCAAAATCGTGGTCCCTTCTGGGGTACCCTACATAAGAAGGGCCGCCCTTAACATAGGGACCCCCCCAAAAGCCCTGTAGGCCTTCGTGTTTGGAGGGTTTATAGCGTCGAGGGTTTCACCTTCTCGGGGGTTGAATGGATCTCCGAGCTCGATGAGCCCGAATCCCTATATGGCCCGAAATATGCCACCGAAAATGCAAGTTTTGTGTAGCACCGCCCCCCCCCCCCCCCCGGCCGATCCACCAATCCGCCCTCGTAGTTGTGGCCCAAGAAGAGTCAAGGGTCGGGGGGTTCTTGGCGGCGTGGGTTTCGTTTTTTTTAAACTATAGGTTGGCATGTTCTCCCCTTTTTTTCTAACAGTCCTTAATAGGGATTACAGTACATACACGTAGTGTCATGGCGGCTGATGATGCCAACCCTGCTCTCAAAAAGCTCTTGCTGCGAGCACGCTATTGCGAGACCTGCTGCGCGGTCGAGCGTGAGGGCCACGCGCACGGATCTCGCACGGAGCACCCGGTACGCCTCCTGACTCCTGAGGAAAAGGCCTCCTTGGAAAAACAATGGCGGGAGGAGCAGGACTTGGGCGAGGAAAGAAGCCCGGCTGCAGCAACAGCGTGACGAGGAGAGGAGACGACGACAAGACTCCCTATTGTCATCCCTCTTCAGAAGCTGTTAGTATAAGTAGGAACCCTAAACCCTAAACCCGAAACCCTAAACCCTAAACCCTAAACCCTAAACCCTAAACCCTAAACCCTAAACCCTAAACCCTCAACCCTAAACCCTAAACTCAGGGCCTAGGCCGCCCCCCTACAGAGGGGGGGCGGCGCTTAAGCCCTTCCACCTCTATGGCGAAGGTCGACCCAGGTCGCTTGCCCGCCTCCTGCAGCCAGGAGGTCGGTAGCACCCACGATGGGCCCGGTACCGGAGCAGGTTCTCCCGGGGACCAGTACTGGTCCCCTTAATAAAGTAAATACCCTAAACCCCAAGGTCTTCACCCTGGATGGCGCTGGGATTTCGGGGGGGGTACCCCAAGCCCCCCAGGCCAGGACAACCCGGACCCCCCACCGCAGCGTGTCCAGGGACCAGGGGGCCTCAGGCCAGGCCAGGCAGGGCGGGTGCTCAAAAAAGCTTGTTTTGGGCTCCCCCCTAGACCTCCTTGGGCCCCCCTGGGCGGTGGGCCTTTGCCCCTCTGGTCCCCCCCCTAACCCCCCCTGACCCCCCTGGAATGCGGGCTTTGGGCCCTTCTGGAATTGGGCCGCTGCCTAGCCTCACTGAGCCCCCTCACTTTGGGCCCCTTGCTTTTTCCTCTGCGCCTCCTTAACTGGGCCGCTCTGGGCCCCTCTGCCGGGCCCCTGGGCTGCCCAGACTGACCCTGTGGAGGCTTGTTTTTTGTGAAAAGCCGTGACGGAATGAAGAAGTTTTATGTGAAGAAAGCAGTTGGCTTGAGTTGAGGCCTAAACCCTAAAAGGAATAGGTTTGGGTGGCTTTGCCGCCTTGGACGGCGTGGGGTGGGAGAAAAGTATTAGATGGCCTTGCACAATCGGGCCAAAGCTGCTCTTCGCACCTCACGACGCTTTCGAGCTTGTTCCAAAACCTAACCTTCACAGCATCTACGCCCTATCACAGCAAACCCTAAACCCTAAACCCTCAACCCTAAACCCTAAACCATCCCTCTTAAGGAGCTGTTAGTATAAGGGGGAACATCCCAAACTATGGGGGTTTAGGGTTTCTGGAGGGCTCCGCCTCGGCTGTAAGCCCTACAAGAACACCTTCAGAACGTTTGAGGAATCTAAGTGCTTAGGATTTAGGGTTGTTCAACAAAATCGTGTAGATGCTTTAGGGTTTAGGAGAAGGGAACTCAGGGGGGCTTCAAAGCCGTAAGCCCTAACCCCTAAGCCCCAAAACCCTAAGCCCTAAGCCCTAAAGCCTAAGCCCTAAGCCCGACATTGAAAGCCTTCGGCCGCTGCGCCCAGGCCAGCAACATGATTGGCTGCGGAATTCCTTTTGACGCTTCCATCCGTTTCAACAAAGCTGGGGATCTTGGTCGGTGACGAAGGATTCGGGCTTTTTGAGCCCTAAGGCTTGAGGTTGTAGGGTTTAGGGTTTAGGGTTTAGGGTTTGGGGTTTAGGGTTTAGGGTTTGGGGTTTCCAAGTTTTAGGGTTTAGGGTTTGGGGTTTAGGGTTTAGGGTTTAAGGTCTTACTATTTTAGGGCTTTTCGGGTTTTAGGGACATTCAGCCCTAAACCCCAAAAAGGTGCTTTTTCAGGGTGGCTCATTAGGGCAATGTCGCATGCCTTGTTTCTGGTAACTTACATGTCCCCAAACCCTAAGCTTCAACCCTAGCCCTAAACCCTAGCCCTAAACCCTAAACCCCTAAAAGGGGCAGGTAGGGCTGAGGGCTTTGGGGGTTTAGGTTTCGGGCTTAGGGGTTTGTAGGCAACTTCTAGAGATCACCTCAAGGGCTTCATGGGTTCGATCCGACTTGGGTCTGTCGGATAAGCAAGGGGGCTTTGCTCACGTTTAGGGTTTAGGGTTTAGGAAGTTTGGGGTTTAGGGTTTAGGGTTTAAGGTTTAAGGTTTAGGGTTCCTAGGTTGGATTCGGGGGACCCTTCAAAGGGGATCCCTTCTCAACCCCCTGCTGGCCCTATCAAAGAGGGTCGAGTCTACATCCTCAAAGGTCCCCTAGTCCTAAACCCTACATGTGATGGTTTACGTACGAATTTAGGGGTACCTATTGGGGTCCTTATTCTAAGGGAATGCTACTATTTAGGGGGCTACATTCGGGGGTCTTTTTTGTTTTCTTCTCATAGACTCCCATGTGAAACAAGAGCGTCTGTGGTGTCAATGCTCAGGCTCTGAATGATGGCCTCTACCTTCTGTGGTTTGGGGTTCAGGGATGTTCCCCCTTGTATTAACAGCTCCTTAATAGGGATTATTTGTAATGGGGGGCACTATCATCCCTATTCAGGGCTGTTAGTACAAGGGTGAACATCCTAAGTTTGGGTTTGGAGGTGTCAGGGTTTGGGGGTCTAGTTTTTAGTGACTTAGGCTTTATGATATTTTTGGTATAGGGTCGAGGGGTTTAAAGGTTTAGGGTTTAGGGGCTGAAGGGTTCAGGGTTTAGGAGTTTAGGGTCAGAATTCGGGAGTCTAAGGACGTGGGGGTTTGGGGCCGGATCCTTTACCTGGCTTTGGCCAGTTTTCGGCGGGCGGCGGGCCCAAGGGCCCAACACCCCTTAAATTCTAGGAACGCACCTTGAACATCGTTTTCAAGGTCGCCTTCTTTGCTCTGAGGTACGTTTCCAAAGCCTAAGCCCCAAGCCCTAAACCCTCAACCCTCAACCCTCAACCCTCAACCCTCAACCCTCAACCCTAAACCCTAAACCCTAAACCCTAAACCCTAAACCTCGAATGAATTGAGGGGTCTTGGGCTCTCAGAGAAGACTTAGACTTGGCGGTGGCGAAGCTGAGCCAAGTGATCACGTTTCTCAGGTGCTGGGAATCTGCACTACAGGGTTTTGATCCTCGAAGAACTAAAGTTTAGGGTTTAGGGTTAGGGTTTAGGGTTTAGGGTTTAGGGTTTAGGGTTTAGGGTTTAGGGTTTAGGGTTTAGGGTTTCGGGCTTAGGAATTTGAGGGTTTAGGGTTCAGGGCTGTGGAACGGGTACGTGGAGTAGTTCATACTGCGAGCATTTTAGTGGTTGTAGCTGGATAACTCAGTACTGATCCGGGCTTCTGTGCTCGGTCGGGGGCCGCGTTGCTTTAGGATCTTGTGTTGTTGGTCGGCTTGCCCTGGGACTTGGGACCAACCCTAAACCCTAAACCCTAAACCCTAAACCCTAAACCCTAAACCCTAAACCCTAAACCCTAAACCCTAAACCCTAAACCCTAAACCCTAAACCCTAAACCCTAAACCCTCAACCCTAACTACAAGGAAATTCAGGGGTCCATACTTGGAGCCCCAGACCCCAGCACCTGACACAAATCAGCCCAAAGGGCTCTCGGGGCCGAGGAGGCGCGGACAAAACAGCTCAGAGTCGGGGTTTCAGGGGTTCAGGGGTTTAGGGTTTAGGGTTTAGGGTTTCTGGGGTTTCAGGGTTTCAGGGTTTCAGGGTTTCAGGGGTTTAGGGTTTAGGGTTTCTAGGGTTTGGGTTTTTGGGTTTTACGGCTTAGGGTTTAGGGTTTAGGGTTTAATCGGGGTTTCGGGGTTTTAGGGGTGTTAGGCGTTTAGGATGTGGGGTTTAGGGTTTAGGGGGTTTCAGGGGTTTTAGGGTTTAGGGTTTAGGTATCAGGGGTGTTAGGGTTTTTAGGGTTTTTAGGGTTTTAGGGTTTAGGGTGTTTAGGGTTTTAGGGTTTTAGGATTTAGGGTTTAGGGGTTTAGGGTTTTGGGGTGTTAGGGTTTTAGGGTTCGGTTTTCGGGTGTAGGGTTTGGGGTTTAGGGTGTAGGGGAATCAGGGGTTTCAGGAGCCTTTTAGTTTTTTGGGCTTATGTAGGGGTTAGGGCAATCAGGGTTTGAGGCCTTCCTTGATTTAGGAATTAGGGTTCCGGATTTAGGGTTTAGAGTGGGAACTTCAACCCTAAGCCCGAAACCCCAAACCCCAAACCCCAAACCCCAAAATCTAAGCCCTAAGCCCGAAACCCCAAACCCCAAACCCTACACTCTAAACCCTAAACCCTAAACCCTAAGCCCTAAGCCCTAAGCCCTAAGCCCTAAGCCCTAAACCCTAAACCCTAAACCCTAAACCCTAAACCCTAAACATCCTTTTGCGCTTCCGCTGAGGCGATCCCGCCGCCTCCGGGCCTTGGACCCGTGGAGCCTCCAAGGCGGCGGCAGTTTTGGGGGGCTTAGGGAGGAGCTTGGGGTTTAGGGTTTAGGGTTTAGGGTTTAGGGTGTAGGGTTTAGGGTTTAGGGTTTAGGTTTTAGTGTTTAGGTTTTAGTGTTTAGGTTTTAGTGTTTAGGGTTTAGGGTTGGCGTTTATCAGTTTGCTTTTGGGTTTGGTGTTAGTGCTTAGGGTTTCGGTTTGAGGGCTTAGGGTTGAGCTTGGGGTTTGGGGTTTGGAGTCTGATGTTTACATAGGGTTTGGGGCTTTGCAGATGAATCCTGGGGTCTTCTTGCGGTGGCTTTTAGGCCTGTGTACAGCACTAATCGCTAATCATGAGTCGAAAAGATAAGGCCTCGCCTACACCCTAGCCGTAGCTCATGTGGCCGTGCAACGCAGCCGGCCCTCGCTTGCTGAGTTTCACGCGGTTTCGGGTTTAGGCTTTAAGGCTGAGGGTTTAGGGTGTAGGGTCTGGGGCTTTTAGTAGGAAGCAGTGAGGTATCCATGAAGCGCCCTAACCTAAAACCCAAAAAAGGGTTTAGGGTTTAGGGCTAAACGAACTCAAGTACCTTAAAACCCTAAACAATAAAAGCCTAAACCCTAAGACCCTAAAAGCCTAAAAGCCGAAAGTCTCTGAAAAGCCTCAAGCCCTAAACCCTCTCAAGCCCTGAAGCCCTGATACACTTGGCCCGGAACCCGTTCCCTCTAAAACCCTAAACCCCTAAACCCTAAAACCAAAACCCTAAACCCTAAAATCCAAAACTCAAAACCGTTCAAACCCAACAACTCCAAACCCCTAAACCCTAAAGCCCCCGCAGCCCTACATCCTGAACCCTAACCCTGAACCCTAAACCCTAAACCCTAAATCCTAAACCCTAAGCCCTAACCCCTAACCCCTAAACCCTACCCACCCTGGAGTGCAGAGGCCCGGTTCTTCCCGCAGTGTCCCGATGCAGCCCTTCGAGAAGCCGCCGGGGCCTTGGTTTCTCTGGGTTGCCTCGGTTTAGGGTTTAGGGTTTAAGGTTCAGGGTTTCTGGGGGCTTGCGGCTTTATTGGGGTTTAGGGTTTACGGTTTAGGTTAGGGTTTGGGGTTTAGGGTTTCGGGTTGCGGGTGTAGGGTTTGGGAAGAGTGTATTGTTGAGATACCGCAACAAAAAGTGAGCGCTTCAGTTTCCGTGCGCGCAAAAACCCCAGTCTATGTCTCTGGCTTTTATTCAAGTCTAAATGGTCACTTCTCTAAATTATGGTCCCTTTTTGTTGGGGACCCTAAAACAGAGGGCCCGCCTTGTCATAATAAGGGACCGCAAAAGACACATATTTTTAGAGAAGGGACCAAATCCTAAACCCAGTAGGCTGAAGCATGAACCCCCCCCGAACCCTTAAACCCTACACCCTCTTCGCAAAGCCCTAAAGGCCCCTAAAGCCCTTAAGCCTGAAACCTCTTCAAGCCCAAACACAATCCCCTGGTCCCGAAGTCCCAAAACCTACACCCACCACCACAAAAAACAAACCAAATTCCTAAACCCCCGAAACACTAAACTCTAAACGCTAAACCCTAGACCCTAAGACCCTTAGCCCTAGGCCCTAAACCGTAAACCCTAAACCCTTGAACCCTTATACCCTTAAACCCTTAAAATTCTGAACCCTTAAACCCTAAACCCTGAACCCTAAACCCTTAAACCCCTAGACCCTAAACCCTAAACCCTAAACCCTTAAACCCTAAACCCTGAACCCCACCGGCTGCTCAGGCAGAGCTCAGCCGAGGACCCTCCTCGCTGGGAATCAAGGGAGGGCTGAGGGTTTCGGGTCCGGGGTTTAGGGTTTAGGGCTAGGGTTTAGGGTTTAGGGTTTAGGGTTTAGGGTTTGGGGTTTAGGGTTTCGGGTTTAGGGTTTAGGGTTTGGGGTTTAGGGTTTAGGGTTTGGGGTTTAGGGTTTAGGGTTTAGGGTTTGGGGTTGAGGGTTTAGGGTTGGGGTTGAGGGTTCCGGGTTCATGCCCCCCTAAGGTCTTAAGAGCTCCTGTGCTAAAGATCTCATTTTGCCCCTATCTTCCTTTGGGGGATCATTAGAAAGGGTTCCTGTGCCCAAGGGAAAGCACAATCCCAAAGGGCCCATTCTGCATATACATATATGTATAATATGTATACTATGAAAAATATGCATAGTATGTATAATAAGTACAATATGTATAACATGTATAAGGAGCATGGGTACCTAAAAGGGTTTGCGGTTTAGG